TCCTCAGCGTCGTCTTCCACGGTACACCTTGCGCCGGTCACATGCACCGGCTACATCCACCGGTCACATGCACCGGCTACATCCACCGGTCACTTGCACTGGCTACGTTTAAGCCTTTATCCCGTTTCTCGTGGGGAAATCCGACGGCGTCGGACGACTCGGCAAACGAGATCTTCAAGGAATTTCGAATGGGATTCGTATTTGGCAGGAAAGTCCCGCGTTTCTCGAGTCTCGACCGCGCTTCGTCATCGTGATGTTCATCGCGATGAACATCATGATATTCGCATCTGATCGATGCAGTCGTTTCCAATAACCGCGTTATCCTTAGCCAGCGATTAATTAAACTAATTTAATCTAATGTAAGAGTAAGTGGCTTCTGCTTTGGGTGCCTCCTAATCCCTCGTCCATCGAACACCCTAATCCCTAATCCATCGAAAATCCCAAGGCGGATCGCCCTCGAACACCGATTGGCCAAAAAAATAAGTTCGCCGAATTCGCAGGGACGACGTAAATAAATTCACGCGGGATGAGCAAAATCGTGCAAATTCGCGGGCGAATTTGACTCAAATTTTCGCGGAACGACCTTTGCGACGCCGCGCAAAATTTCCGCGAAGGTGCCTCGCTTCGAGTTTCGCGCGAAGTCGGGAACTTTCCGCCCCGTCCGACGCGTTTTGGTGCGTTTCCCGGCGACGCGGTGTCGAAGGGTCCATCAAATTTTTTGCGATGTGCCAATTCGCAAGTTTCAAAGGAAAACATTCTCCGCTCCGCTTCGCAATATTGCAAAAATATATTTAAAAATCCTGCAAAAACGAAGAATGCTGGGCAAAAAAATTCCCACTGGCAATTCAAACACGGGGCGAGGGTCGATAGATTTGCGTCACTTTTTGGCCCGGTTTTATTTTGCGGATTTGGCAATGCGAAAAAAAATTGCTCAAATCTCTCCGCTCACTATTTTTGCAAAACTCTATCGGAATTTTTTTTTTCATCCAAGTTTGTTGCGCAAAAGTAACACCATTCGAGGCCGGTCGCGTCCTTCAGATTTGATTAGCTAATTTGTTGTGCTAATCCCCGATGAGTGAGCAGATGAATCCATTAATCGATCCGGAAAGTTTTCTCAAAACGCGCTCAAATATTTTTTTTTGCACGAGTCTGACGGCTGAAATTAAAATGTAAAATGCGCACAAAATTCGCGATCGCTCGCAGCGAGCAAATTTTTGCGAAACTTTCATTTTGAGTTTCCGCGAAATCTTGGAGATTTCTTCCAAACTCATAAAAAAAAAAACGAAAACGGACAAGAGGCGGAATGGCGCAAACTTCAAAACTTTCTTGCCAAAATTTTCATGCACCTCATCCCAGATATTGGCAGATTAGCTGAAAATTGGCCTTAAAATATGCCCTTAAATTTTTTTTTAATGCTGTAATATTAATAATGCGTGTAATTTTGTTTGCCTTTAATCAAATGTTAGAACTTTTTTTTTTTAGTTTTTACTTTTCAATTTCGTTTCTTAAAAAATTGGACTCGAAATTTAGAAAATTTCTGCGTATTTTTTTCAACTTGTTGGTCCTTGCTCATTTAAATAAGGATGCCGGAGCCAAAATTCGTCATAAGTTGTAAATAAAATTTTTTTAAAAATAATTTACTTTAATAGATTCGATTTCTTGCGGTACTGCTTCGTCCCGTTCCTTTTTCGGTGGTATATTCTATATATATATACTTATCAGTCATTTGGGATTTTTCAAGAAAATTTCTGAGGGCGGCATCCGGGCCAAAGACGACCCGTGAAGACGATTTTTCTCGCGGAACGAGTCGTCGCCGAGTTGGCCCGAGATCCGGTATGGGAACGCCGAGAGGAATCCGCCCCTGCGACGTGATTACGAGGGGGGGCAAGGGGGGGGGGGCAAAGGGGGAGGGGGGGACTGACAGGGGAATGGGATGGGGGTCGCTCCCCCTGGACACGTGAGACCGACGTGAGACGCGAGACCGACATCAGACCGACAACATCGTCCCGGCTGTCAACTCGTTAGCTCGAACGTCTATTTCAGGAGCGAGTGCCATCGCTCTCTCCCTCTCTCTCTCCCTCTTTCTCCCCCTCTCTCTCTCCCTCTTTCTCTCTTTCTTTCTTCCTCTTTCCTTTTTCGCGTTGTTCCTCGTTTTTGTGAGGTCGTGGTCGCGCTGGCGGAAGTGCTTTCGCTCGGCCTGCGACAGATGTCGCTCGCGAGGGGAAGGGGCCGGCGAGCCCATCCATCTTCGTCTCTTCGGAGCATTCGACAAAGTGGCACGAAATGACGAACTTTGAGCGCTCGACCGGGGGATGTCCCGCAGTCGTCCCCACACGTCGTCCCCACACACCACACATCATTCCCACTTGAAGCGTGAAGGAGAAATATGATCATGAAATATAAATATTTATATGTAAATATTGAGATTCCCAGAACTCTGAAGAAATTCCGTAAAAATGGACACATGAAGGTCACGTGAAGGGCAATGAACGCCGGACGTGAGAAATAAGGACGCAGGATGTCAGGAATATAGCGACCAGAGACGCCGCAAAAAAATGGCAAAAAGGTGCCGGCAAAAAAAAAAAAAAATGCGAACGCAGAAAAATAACAAGGATGTTGCGAGTCGACAAGCGGAATTGACAGCCGGAATTGACAACCGGAATTGACAACCGGAATTGACAGCATGGGACGGTTCGACGATTTCGGACGCGATGAGCGCCAAGGACGCAATTTCGTTGTTGAAGGCGAGAAAAATAGCCGAGCATTTCTTTATTATTGTTATTTGTTATTGTTATTTATCGTATTTTTTTCTTGACGTCCCAATCGGAACGAAAAACTCGCTTCACCGTTTGCAGCTGGGACTTCATATATTTATTTGATGATTATTCAAACATTTGGTTTTTTGACGCGAAACCGAGAGGAGGCGAATGTGGACGTTTTTCATGACTTTTTCATGACGTTTCCCCGACCCGTCGCGAGGCAGCGGAATCGGTGCCGCGTGCCGGTTTGGGCGCGCGTGCCGGTTTGGGCGCGCGTGGAAACTCGCGAAACTGTTAAACATCTTGATTTGATCAATTTCGAAATGGTACAAATTAAATTTACCGCACAAACTCACGGGAAAAAAGTTGTCGGAGAAGAAAGAAACCTCAACTTTGGCACTTTGCAAAAAAAAAAATAAAATAAAATAATAATCAGCAAAAAAAATAGCATTAGCGTTTCTCGACCTTTCTTTCTCCCTTCGCCTAGTTTTTTAAGTTATGAAGAAAAATTCCGGTACGAATATGATAATCGGTAATAAAATTAGCGGTACGTACCTGCGAGAAATAATATAAAATGCTGGAAACGTCCTCCGCGCACACGCGCGAACGCGTCCGCCAGCGGTCGTGTCTGACGCCGCGAACGTCCCGCCGAGAAACGCGGAAACGTCGAGGAAACCAATTTCCCCGAGGAACGGCGATGGAGTTCAAAAAGGGGGACGGGAGGGGACGGGAGGGGACGGGAGGGGACGGGAGAAGATACAAACTCGCTGATTCAAGGGGGCGATGCTGGAATCGAGGAACGTTTCTGTATTGTCAAAATTTCACCAAAAAAAATTAAGCGCTTCTCGAGACGAAATGATAATTTTTTATGATGACGTCATCCGAGCCAATAAATCCGAGATTTAATCAATTCGAGAGGCGCAGGTCGTTCGTCGAGGCGGTCGAGGAGCCGCCGACATTTTCTCTGCCGACTCGTTGGCAATATTGGCAGCGTTTCTGCTTTTCGCGTCGAAGAAAACATCGAGATCCGAGGGAATATCACATTCCGAGCTCTTCCCAGTCGAATAATATATTCTAAGAATAATATATTCCAGCTACGGCATCCCACTCTTCGTGTCCGAGAAAGAAAAATAATGGAGGAACGATCTCTGAGAACGATTTCTGGGAACGATCTCTGAGAACAAGGATTGCTTCGGGCTCATGAAGCAAGTTCAAAAATAATAATAGAAATACAATTAGCGGTAATTACCGATTATAAATAATATCTGAGACATCGGGCGACATTCAGTCGCTTAATGCCTTGTCTAAAAATGTGCAGATTTCTTTTTTGCAATGCTAAAAGTCGGTGCGAAGAGCGACGAGAAGAAGGAATTACGGCAACCGTTCCCATTACTTCAAAGGTCCTAAAGGCCTTAAAGGACAAACAAGGACCATGCTTTTATTAATAGCTTTTTTTTAATTAACTTATTTTCATGACCACATAGCGAAATAGAAACTTATCAAAATTGGCACACCGAGAAGACAAGTGCAAAAAATGACAATATCTGCCGATGCAGCAATTTCTCCTTCGCGACGTCGTCGTTGATGGCGTCAACGGTGACGCCGTCACCGTTGACGGCGTCGAGAGACTTCAACGGTGCCGAGAGCGTCGGCAGCGCCGCGGAAACGTTCGCGGCGTCGGACAGGACCGCCGGCGGACGCGTTCGCGTGGAGGACGTTTCCAGCATTTTATATTATTTCTCGCAGCTACGTACCGCTAATTTTATTACCGATTATCATATTCGTACCGAAATTTTTCTTAATTACTTAAAAAACTAGGCGAAGGGAGAAAGAAAGGTCGAAATACGCTAATGCTATTTTTTTTGCTGATTTTTATTTTATTTTTTTTTGCAAAGTGCCAAAGTTGCGGTTTCTTTCTTCTCCGACAACTTTTTTTTCCCGTGAGTTTGTGCGGTAAATTTAATTTGTACCATTTCGAAATTGATCAAATCAAGATATTTTGGGGGGGGGGGGGGGGGGGGGGGGGGGGGGCAGGGACGACACGCCGAGGGGCATCGAAGCTTGCCTCCTTTCGGGTGGGACCGGATGGGTTCGAGCATAAAGGAGGTTTGCTTTCCATTTCGGATTCGGTAGGAAGTTGTCTTGGATGTAACTCACGGATGCGAGTCGGTCGTGGTCGGGGGGTGTCGTCCCCGACGACCCCCCTCTTAGACGCGACGATTTGGGTGTTTTCCGTCGACCATGAGTCGCTTCTCTTCGACCTTCGCAGTAGACGACCTGGGAATGCCACCTTCTGAGGGGCCGCCTTCTGAGGGGCCGCCTTCTGAGGGGCCGCCTTCTGAGGGGCCGCCTTCAGGTCGGTCCCGAGCGAAGCCGGCAGACCGAGGGGGAAGGGATCCCAGATTTCCGTGCGATTCTCTCCGTTTCTCGCCGTCGTCGTCCGCGCCGATCGTCGGGGATGCGGTGGTCAAAGCGTTTTCAACATTTTTTTTCTTTTCCGTTTTCGTAAATTAATTGCCATCTAGAATTTGCGCTGTCGTGACTTCTTTTCGTCCGAATCGGCGAAGTGCAATTCTTTAGTTTTTTTTTTCCTCTCTCTTTTTTTTTTGTCTGGGAAATGCAAATCGGAAGAGAGGGTGGACGTGGCACGAGATTAACGAGACGTTTCATCCAAAAATGAATCCATGTCCTCGAAGGCCACGAGGACTCGACCACGAGGCCGTGAGGACTTGGATCCTAAAGCGGTGGAGAGAACGCGGAAGGCGCGGAGGGAGAGGGCGCGACGGTCGCTCACCCCGTAGAGATAGGCTTGCTTTTCTGCCGCTTCCCGACCTAGAGAAAGGGAGTCATGGGAGTCATGGATGTCAAGGGAGTCATGGATGTCAAGGGAGTCATGGATGTCATGGATGTCAAGGGAGTCAAGGAATTTATCAGTGTTGACCAGGACCGGAATTATCAGAACAGGATGTGGGGGATCGGAGGAAGCGGAGCCGAGATGGCGTCGGAGGCGAAGCCCTGTTGCGACCCCCCCTGCGGCCCCCCTTCGCCCCCCTGCGGCCCTCCCTCGTCCCCCTGCGCCCCCCCCTCTTCCCCCTGCGCCTACGGCCCCGGGTACCCCTACGACCCCCGGGGGTTCCCCGGGGCCTCCCCCTGGGCTCCCCGGGACCGCGAGGTGTTCTACGGCCCCTATTCGCCCTATCCGCCCTATTCGGCCTGGGGCGGCCCGCACTTCGCTTATCATCAGTTCGCTCAAGGTGAGGCTGGGTCCAGTCCCGCTCCGCTCATTTTAGCCGGTAGTTATTTTAGAAATATATGTTTCCTGTAGGAGTGACGTGTTCTTCGGATTCCGTCGGATTCTTCCAGTCGCTTTTTTCCAGGAAAAAAAAAATTTTTTTTAACGTTTTTTCATTTCCGGAATGTCTTTTATTTTCGCATCCCAAATTTATACAGATAATACAGGGTGGTGAAAAAGTAGGCATCTGCTTATTCCTAATTACTTACTATTACTTTTTATATTCCTTTCTGTTTATTGCTTTTCCATCTGTAACAGATTCCTTGCTCAAAGTCAGGTTCCCTTCCGTTATCTTCTATCTGTAAATACAAAAATCAAGTGACTACCGTATACCTACTTTTGCCCCATCCTCTATGTAAAATAACTATTGGCCGAAAAAAAAAACATATTTTGCGTGCATTTCAGTTTGCCGACGTCGAAGGATCGCGCCAACGTGGTATGAAAAGTCACGGACCATTTTCACATCGCAATAGCTTTTTGTCATTTTTGGACCGGAGCAGCGGCTTTCGCGTGAAGCAGAATCGGATGGGGATTCACGATTTCATCGCTTTTTTGTTCTTTGCAGTAACTCAACTGTGCCAAAATTGAATATTCGGCACCATGCGCAAATAGCTGCAAGGCACTAATGTGGAGGCGCAGGAGGTTCCATCCAGGGCTTCCACCTCCTTCCGCCTCTATCCACCTCCTTCCGCCTCCTTCCGCCTCCTTCCACCTCCTTCCTCCGTCGAGGGCGGTGGCGGAAGGAGAACGCCTTGCGATTTGCCGTCTCCGCCTTCGACCGTGCAGCTGTTTGTGCACGGCGGCGGAGATTCCGTTTTGGCGCAATGAGGAGTTGCCGCAAAGAAAAACGCGAAATCCATCTGAATCTGTGTTTCTCGTAGATTAATTTTATACTTCGTCGTCGAGCGCAACGAAGACATATTTTTGCATATCCTTCTTAAAGTCAGTCCGAGACGGAAAGAAAAGGATTCTGTTTGTGACGCTGCACGCCGTGAGACGCGTCGGGGTCCATCCGTCAGGGATCGAAAGGGGAGCCCGTCTAATTGGCTGTCTCCGTTCCGTGCAGATGGCTTTCGTTAACCGGCACGCCATTAGTCGGGGCGCGAAGTAATTGAGAGGGAGAGGGTCATCCGGAGGGGTGTCGTTCGCAGGGATGTCGGCGGGAGAGTCGTCGACGGGGGAGGAGAGGGCGAGGGAGTGCGTGAACTGCGGGGCGGGGTCGACCCCGCTGTGGCGGAGGGACGCGACGGGGCATTACCTGTGCAACGCGTGTGCGTTGTATCACAAGATGAATGGGATCAATCGGCCGGTCTTTCGGGGAACGCCGAGGAAACTCGTCTGGACTTTTTAAAATTTATTTTATTATTTTATTACGTTTCGAGGAAATTTATTTAATTTTTTTTCGAGAAGGTCTCGAGTCGGAGGCTGGGGCTGAGATGCGCGAACTGCGGGACCGGGACGACGACGCTGTGGCGGCGGGACCCGAGGGGCGAGCCGGTCTGCAACGCCTGCGGGCTGTACTTCAAGCTCCACGGCGTGAATCGGTGAGGACCGCGGGTTTTCCGCGTTCGTCCGCCGGTCGTCGCGTCTCCCCGTCGGCGTCGAGTGACGAGCGCGTTTTTTTCAGGCCCCTGGCGATGCGTCGAGACGGGATCCAGACCAGGAAGCGGAAGCCCAAATCCCTCGTCAAGAAGCTCGACGACCCCTGCCCCTTCGGTATTCGCATCCGAGATGATAACGAGTTATTTTATTTAAATAAATTATTTTAAAACAATTTTCTGAATAAACATTTCAATAATTTTCTCATTCGAGGTAGATTTAATATTCAGATTTAATGCGTAAAAGTTTCTCTTAAAATAAATTTTAAAGTTTTCCACATTAATATTTAAAGATTATTCAAAATAAACATAAAATCCTTTGATATAATTATTTGGAAATATTGTTTGGAATCCCAGAGGAGACCAGCGGCGGCCTCGACCACGGACCCGCGGCCCGCGACCCCCGTCACCCCGGGACCCCCGGCTTCTCCTACCAGGCCAACGTGTTTCCCTTCTCCAAGTTCGTGTTCCAGTCGAAGGGTCTCTGCTCCTTCCCCATTTCATGAGTGAGCTTCCTGTTTAGACGGATAAGATATTCGAATAAAATAATCGGATGATGTGAGCGTGTCGGGGGGGTTGAGGCTGACGTCGTCGAGGCGAAAATTAATGTGGAACGTTGCTTACGTAATTCATTACGTAATTCATGAATGAGTTATATTTTTGCTTTCCTTCTCACTCGAGATGATTTCAGCTGAAAACCCTCAGGAGTGTTTTCTTGTTCGTTTTTCTCAGTCGTTTCTTCGGCGGGATTCAGTACCGAATCGCCTGTCGAATTCCGAGTATCCGGCGATCCCAAAAAACACGAGAAAGAGGGAAAACCCCCTTTGTTGTTTTTGCATGTCCTGCTTGGGTCTGTCGGATATTTTTCTTGCGTCTATATGATAATGCGAGCGTGACGGTATTTTCGTTCCGATTCTTTCGTTCCAAAAATAGTTTTAAATTGTTTCCCCGGTCGTTTCGCCATCCCAGATCAGATCGAGATCCGGAGACGATGAATCATTGCTTTTTTTTTTTGGTCCGCTTCCCTCGAAGCAACTTTTCATGCGAGTGAAGGCGAGATCTCGACGGATAGAGTCAGGTGATGAAGACCTCAAGATGTCTCGAAACTGACAGGCTTTCGAGATGACCTCCGGCAGAGATTCCGGTTTCGTGACAGGGTTTGCATCATCGGACGATCCGGCCGAAGACTGGATCCCCCACACCGACGTCCCGCTTGCAAACGGCGAGAGAGAATCAGCCGCGACCGAGCCGCGAATCGGCTTCGAGAATCAGCTGTTACGACGCCGAGAATCGCCTTGGAGAATCAGCTGGGACAACGTTCAGGGCGCTCCGCCCTCCTCACTCCCGACGGCGACCTCCACCGGAGGTTCGGGCGAGAATCGCCGCCCGCCATCTGACGGAGGCGGCGGGGAGGCAGAGCTTCAGTTCTGTCGTCACAGATGTCGGGAGTGCGGCGCAGCGCGGACCGTGCCGAGCCACGGGTTAAATTCCAGATTCATCTGTCAAGCGGAATGACTGGCATGGCGTTATCTCGTACTCGCATCTCCATCTGTACCCACTCGACATATCGGAGCACTCAGCATTCAACGGAGCGAGCCGCATTCAACGGAGATAGCCGCATTCAACGGAGATAGCCGCATCGAACCGGGTTAGGCCCATTGAACCGGGCTAGGCCCATTCCGGGGCCGCCGATGCCGAATTTCCCGCGGCGCAGGTTCGTGTCACCTTGCCGGTCGTGGGAAGGACTGTTTCTGCCCGATTGTTTGTCGTAGCAATTATTTCGCGAGCCTCTCGGCTCTGTTTGCCATCTTTTAACCCGACTCTCCTCGGTGACTTTCCTTTTTGCCGAAATCCGAGACGTCGGGAATCGGTTCTTCCTCGAGGTCGGTGCCGTTTTCCGGTTTCGACTGCCGATTATTCATCTCCCCGAAATTATGCGCTTGCCAAATCTCTCGCAACGCGACCTACTTCCGAGCTAATTAACTCGTCACCCACTCCTCCCAATTAGTTTTCGATTATGGGTTCATTAGTTTCCCCGAGAGGGAACGAGTCGAATGACGCAACTGCAATAAACGAAGGCGCTGATTGAGGCTCGCCAGTGTTGCCAGATCCGCGCTTCCGCGACGCGAGCGAAACCCCGGCGAAACGGGGCGATTCGCCCGGGAGCGTCGGAACAGACGGACGAAAACCTCGAGGGAAAAAATTTTCATCTGTTTC